GTGGCAGGCCCATGCCGTCCAACGTCGTCCAACCCTTCCCTTCTCAGGTCGCTGCCCGGGCCGAAGTGGGACCTGGCGAGAAGGTGGTGGGCATTGACCTGGGCACCACCAACTCCGCAGTGGCGGCCATGGAGGACGCTCGATTTGGAAGCGCATGAGCCTGCATGAATTACAACTGGAAAAGGCCGGGCTCATGCAGGGGTCTGAAGCCGTGTTGCCCAGAGGCCGGCGCCCCCACCATCATCCCCAACGCGGAGGGCGCACGCACCACGCCGAGCGTTGTGGCCTACTCCAAGAGCGGTGAGCTGCTGGTGGGGCAGATCGCCAAGCGCCAGGTGCACGGCCCACATGTTTGTTGTGTGGGTGCGTAGTCCGTGGGTGTTGCACTGAAGTTTCGCATTGCTGCACCAACTCGTCCGTGTGGAGCAGGCCGTTGTGAACCCAGAGAACACCTTCTACTCCGTGAAGCGCTTCGTCGGCCGCCAGCCGAACGAGGTGGGCGAAGAGCTGAAGGAGGTGTCCTACAAGGTGGATTTTGAAGGCCAGAAGGTGAAGATCGACTGCCCCGTCTTGAGCAAGAAGTTCGCGCCGGAGGAGGTCTCTGCGCAGGTGCTGCGCAAGCTTAGTGGTGATGCCGGCACCTACTTGAGTGCCACCGTCCAGAAGGCAGGCTGCCCTCGCACGAGAGGGTAAGGAAAGGGCCTGTGCGCCTCGTTCGTGTGACCACTTTCTGTCTTCATCGCAGGCAGTCGTGACCGTTCCCGCCTACTTCAACGACTCGCAGCGACAGGCGCACGCAACGGGACGGAGTGATGATAGGCAGCAGAAGTGTCTTGGGATAGGAAGTGAAAGTCACACGAGGGGAGGTTCGTGGATGTTGAGGTTACTGTAGAGATGTCAATCACTAGCATCAGTTGAGGCCACGAAGGATGCCGGTAAGATTGCTGGTCTGGACGTGCTGAGAATTGTGAACGAGCCGACTGCTGCCTCCTTGGCATATGGCTTGGAGAAGGCGAACAACGAGACGATTTTGGTCTTCGACCTCGGGGGAGGAACCTTCGACGTGTCTGTGCTGGAGGTCGGCGACGGAGTCTGCGAGGTGCTCGCCACCAACGGCGACACCCACCTGGGCGGCGATGACTTTGACAAGGTCATCGTGGACTGGCTGGCGGAAGACTTCCAGAAGACCGAGGCGGGGCAAGATTGAAGTCCTTAGGAAAGTTTGGTGCAGTGGAGACTCAGATGACTCAGCGGCGCAGGGCATCGACCTCCTCAAGGACAGGCAGGCACTCCAGCGCCTGACCGAGGCTGCAGAGAAGGCCAAGATTGAGCTCTCCGGTGTGCAGGAGGCGCCCCAGCCGAGAAGCATCACGCAGCAGCACAGCCTTCAGTTTCGGGGGTGCCTTTTCCCCCTTTGTGAGGCCAAGATTTCCCTGCCCTTCATCACGGCCGATTCCACCGGCCCCAAGCACATCGAGCAGAGCTTGTCCCGTGCCAAGTTCGAGCAGCTCGCCAGCAAGCTCATCGCTCGCTGCAGGACGCCAGTGAAGTCGCGCACTAATCTGGCAAAGCTTAAGGCTGAAGCACCCTTGAGATGTCGAAGGATGCGATAAGCATGCGATCCGTGTGTTGCGCGGTGGCTGCATGCAGGACTCCAGTGGAGAATGCTTTGAAGGATTCCAAGATGAGTGCCAGTGAGATCAACGAGATCGTGCTCGTGGGCGGCTCCACCCGAATCCCTTCCATCCAGACCCTGGCCTCAGAGCTTGTCGGCGGCAAGAAGCCCAACCAGAGCGTGAACCCGGACGAGGTCGTGGCTGTGGGTGCGGCAGTGCAGGCTGGTGTTCTGGCAGGTGATGTGAAGGACATCGT